GCAAAAAAAGCAAAAAAAGAAGAAAGGAGAGGCACTGGCGGCGCTGCCTTTTCTTGAATCTGACTAGTACACGAACCCGCATATGGGTGACACGCTGGCACTCTGATTCCCTCCCTCCCTCCCTCCCTGTTCAGCCTATCCAGCCAGTCAGCCAGTGCGTGTGCAGGGAACGGTATGTTCCCATGACTTGGGTGTGGTGTGGTAGTTGTGATTGTTGTTGTTCCCATACAGGCTGGCCCTTGTATAGCTGGACACAGCCTGCTTGCTTGCTGTCTTCTAGAGGGGGGCATGCACTCTACTTACCTAGTCTCTTCCCCTTTGCAGTGCCCTCTCACCACCCAAGCAAGGTGAAAATTGAAACACATGTGCTGCCTGACTCTCTGAGTGTGAGGAATGTTTTTGGTCATGTGTTCTACCTTCCTCTGTTTGTTTGTTGGTTTGTGTGTATGTTTCTGTTTTTCTTTTTTTTGGCATGAAAATTTTAGACCTATGTTCTGCTTTCAATGTGTGTGCCAACATGCATTGACTTCCCAAAAAGGTTACCACCTACTATTCTTCTTTGGGTGCCCTTGTGGTCCCCATGAGTCCCCATGTAGTTGTTACAGTACAGGTTGTTTTTGACAATAGCAAAAGGTTTGAACAATATGTGATTTTATTTTTAATCTAGCAACTAAACAATTAGTCACATTTGTGTTTGTTGTTCCATCAGCAAAGGACTACTTGAATGGGCAGAAGTACTTTGTAGTATCTTCATGTGTAGTCTATCAGAGCCTTAGTAAATAAACAAATGCAAACCAAGGAAAAGATTACTGGTGATTTTTGTCAAAATCTATAAGAACCAGTTGTGAAAAAATGTGTTTCAGTTCCACTTACAGTCTCCAACGTAAGCAGGTGATGATAGCAGTCAGTTGGGCATCTTGCTGAAGAGGCTGGTTCAAACTTATGATGCCTGTTTGTGAGATGTGGCTACATTGTCCTTAGATCCAAATCCATAGGTTAAATTTGACCTCTTACTTGGTTGCTCTGACCTTTTCCATTTTTGTACACCCATAGACACACACGAATGGAATCCTATAAGGATTTAAAAAAATTAACCCGACTTTGCTGGAAATGGAGCCCAAGTATCTAAAAATGGGAGTTCCTGCCTCCCAAGCTCAATGCAGAAAAGATGGCACAAAGAGAATTAAGATGCCAAGAACGGAAGCTGAAAGTGGGTGCATGAGGATTGAGATGCAATTTCACGAGCCCTAGACCCTTCATTTCTCTGCTATCAGCAGAGGCATTAATGGCTGGATGCAGACTGACAGACAGACGGTTGCTTCTTCAGCAAGCTAGAAGTGTGTCGTGATTACAGCATCTCCACTAGCTTGGGAATTGTCGAACTCTGAAGAATTTGGAATAATTTTCAGTAAACGCCTTCAGAAGAACTTGCGATTGACTAAGAGGCGTCAATCCACAAGTGCTCATCTTTTAACAAACCGAAATTCCATATAAATTCCAATTCGTAAGGACTTCTTCGAAAAAACCCTGACGAAAGCCTACACTACGAAGGCATGAAAAATCATCTTCCAGTCAACATTGGGCAGATAGCACTCATTTCAAATCACTTACATACTAAGAACACGAATTACACATAAAAATCAACAATCCACGTTCGATGTTAAATGGTTTTAGAAGAAACTCAACGGTGAATCAATGGTCTATGTTGATTAATATTGTCACAGATATGACTACCATAACAGCCAATCTGTCACATATTTTACATGAATTCCTCAGTTACCTACCCTTACAAAACTGCTTGTATGAGTAATTCAGATCTGCCCTCTGCTATAAGTACATGAGATCTAACATCTTTCTTGCTGCCTGCGTATATGCAAATCTACAAAGAAGCCAAGGATCAACACAGTATACGAAACCTCGTAAACGAGAGCATTCAAGGGCTGGCCGAAGCCACCCTTACTGTGTAAACTTCTCTGAATAAGAAGAAATGGGCTGACGCAACTTCGGAAGATTAGCCGGACCAACTCGATACGACTGTTGCGGGACAGACCCGATGATATATTCATAGCCTCTTTGCGCATGAAAACCGCAATTGGAGTTGTCGCGTGAAGACTCGTTCGAAGCCATGGAACGAAAAGCCACGGGTTGTTCGTAGTCCTTGCATCAGGATCACCACCGCTAAACACTTGCATCACATCTATGGCACCACCACGAGCTTTACGTTTCTATTTTTCCTTCGCGCTACTCAAGAGGTCAAGAAGCGCAATTCGACTGGCTATGAGCAGTCTGAAGAGCTCGTTGACGCATTCCTCAAGTGGGGCCAAACCTCTGCCGAGATTCTGAGACGTACACGCTAGCTCCTCCACTAAAAAGCTGAGCTGCTCGGAGTCTTGGGTGTTGGTGAAAAGACTCCTCTCGTTCACTTTCTTGTCCACAACCTCATACAGCCTTCTCACAAGGACGTCTACATTGTCAAGTTCACGCAAAAGAGCAATTGAGCCCTTATTCTTGCGCTTATCTGTCTCCTCCTTCACTCGCTGCTGGAGGCTGAGAAGGGAGGAAGCCCATAAGCATTGGTTGGACACATGAAGATTCACTAGAGGTCGCTTAGGCTTGCAAGCAAGTGCAATGACAACTAAACCGCACAAGAAAATGGTCGTAACCTTGGCACCATAAATGGCATTTAAAAACCCGTTCCCTTTCACAGCCTCCATAACTTTAGGATTCACAAGTTTCTCGCCCATTGTACGCAACATAGAACTGCAACTCTCAAGCTTCGACCTCGCATGGCCTTGCTTGTATTCTGTGTCTTTCATTTTGATCGCAGCCAAGCAATCGTGGAGAGCGTTCCTAGCACGATAAAAATTGGCATCCTTGCCACATTCCTTCACCTGTAGATTTCGAATGGCAACTTGCACAAGCATCTGGTACTGCTCAAGCTCTGAAATTCCCTCCTTCAAAACGTTGCACACGTCCAGGAGCTTCGCGCTATCATCCAGGTACTCGTCCACCCATTTGTCGTCACGGTTAGAAAGGGGAAATGTCAGGTTTGGAATGAGGGCCTCAACGCTCGAATGCGTGCTAAGAACGACCGATAACGCCTGTAAAAGCCAATCAATGCTGAGGAAGCCAAGTTCTTCTCCAGCTTCTTTCAAGGCGTCGAACTTCTCGACTAATTTAGTTTCGAATTCTTGGAGCACGGGATGCCGTTTAGGTGACCCGCTGCCAGAACGATTCAGAGAAAAGTGGGGGATAACGGCACCAAGTGACCAGAACGAAGACGAGGATCCTTGTTGCATCATCTTGAAGTAGCAGTATGAAACCTGTACTCTACTTAATGTTCTGGGCCGGTGGCCACCAAACAAATAGGTAACCTTCTTGAGGAAATTCTCTAAGTGGCAACGGACGTAGAGAGCGAATGTCTCAGAGTTTTGCACACCACATGAATCAAATAGAAGCAACAGAGAACTGGAAGCATTGACATACAACAAATCAACAAGGAAACTGTCGGAGACGAAAATTTCCTGAACACTGCAACTAAAGCTCCTGCTCTGCGAATGACTCGCAACCACCGGTTCAATGCGAACAATTCCCCTCCCTTGTATCCGCCAACGACGTTAATAAAAATGAGAAAGCAAGATCGAAGGTGCAACTCCACTTTCTTCACGCTCAAACCCAAACCCGCCGCCAACTTCACTCAATTAGAGCACAAAACAGAACGCTACCCCAACCAAACCTTCCGATTCTACAGGCAGGAGGTAAGAGGGCCTGAAGCACACACGAAAGATCGGCGGAAGAGTCTTCTTGACGCCGCCTCTCTAACCTGCTCCGACGAACTCCGACAACCTTCCTCTCTCACTGCACTTCTGCTTGCAAAGTTGGAGAAAACTTGAACAAGAGAAGGAAACTCTTGACTACTCGTATGGAAGCAAATAAACCAGACGAGAGAGAAGACCAGCACAAGGGCGAGAGTAAGAAAAATACAACAACGGCAACGATGAGACGAGAAAGGACTTATGATGCGGTCTTCTTCTTCTTCTTCAGCTACAGCAGCATCATCCTTGTAGAGAGCGCAAGCAACAAAGAGAATGACGACGAGTAGTGTGGACAAGGGGGGCATGCCCTGCCTTCTTCATCTATAGAGCCCTTTGTCCAGATCTCGGACCATGTCCTGATCCAGGTCTCGTCTCTCCCTCCCCAGTTCACGTTGAATTGTCGGTTACACCTTAAGCGAGTCCACTCGTTACCAGTTTTTTTTTATTTTTTTATTTTTTTTATTTTATCATGAGTGTATATCATTCTTAATTGTGGGTGAATAGCTTTATTTCATGATTCCATTGTCCCCTGCCCCGGCTATAGTCACCTCCACGCAATGGCCATTTTGGCAGAGCTCAAGCTTTTGGACTCTATCTTTGCCTACTTTTGTCTTCATTGGATTTGTATCCGTGTGAGCAACCCTAGAGCTTCCTTTATTTCTAACAGTTGGGTTCCTGAAGGACAGAGCTTGGTGTTTGAACGAGGGTAACGCTTGGCAAACTCGAAAGCCAATTTTGAGAATGGTCATACTACTGTTATTAATATTAACATTAATTAATTCACTCATGTGGACGAGGGGTTCTTTTATATCTTTCATAACTTTTATCAAATGTACATCTGAAGTTTTGCTAAATCATTGAGTCATTCAGTTGTAGATTTCCATTGTACAGAGATTTGGTTGATGTTTCAGTAAATCATTTCCTTAAAACCATATAAAAACAAAGTTGTTCCCAAAACACACACACGCACATATATATATATATATATATATATATATGTAATTCATAGCAGAATTTATTTATTTCTACATCTTGAACATTAAAAACCATTATATATATATTCATGGCACGGTATATCTTAAGTATAGGCTTTACATATGGTGCATGCAAGTTATTGGCACTTGTAAACGCCAATTGAATGCCCCCATCTTTATTCTTTTTTTTTCTTCTTCTTATATATATATATATATATATGTAATTCATAGCAGAATTTATTTATTTCTACATCTTGAACATTAAAAACCAACTGTCATTCAGCACACAATGATGTAAGAAGTCTGTGAGTGTGTGTATGTACATGAATAAATGTGAAGGTCGTGAATGAAAACATTCTTCCCCACTGCGGGAATGAAGGTCGCAATGCTTCCGATTCTGACGACGATAGTGTGAGTCGGTCAGCATAAGAGGCACGAATGTGAACGACGACGCTGCCACCCCCGCCCACCTAATTGTGGCAATTCTGCCACTGACCCATTTCTGGTAGTTCTCAGGTCCACCTACAGCATCGCCTGGATCGGAGCAGACCCACCACCCATTCTTCTCCCACTAGCAGTAAAGTTCCACGAGGAGAAGCCACAAGAACACACATTCGCTTGAAACGGATGCTTCCGTTATGTAATTTCTGGCAGCTTCTTGTTTTCCATTTGTGGTGGGTTTCCACTGTTCACGGTACTCCCACTCCCACTACGTCCACTCGCTTTTTAAAGCCTCTAAGGTCTACAACGCACGTTTAAAAGCTTCCATCCGCCACTGAGTAGATATGTATATATTTTCATGTACAAGAATAGGACTGAGTCAGCGGGAGGTCAAATTATGAGGTGAAGTGGTAGTGGTGGCGTTGCGAATGACGATGATAAAGTTTCCAGACAAGTGGGGATGGCCGTCAGTGTCTCCTGACAAGCTAATTCGGGGAGGAGAGCTGTTCAGCGGCGGTCCCAACTGCACAGCTGCTCCCAAGTTAACGTGAAAACATGCGCAATTCCATCGATTCCCGGTCTCAGGGATTCATATGAATCGATAAACTTACCGACTGGGAGGGGTGGGGGGCAGGAGGGGGAGTGGCAGAAGCTGCCAACACCAAGCAGCCGCTGGGTGAGCTGGACAACGATGAACGTCGAATCCGCCATTTCCACACGCCATTCGAATCATGGTGTCCAAAAACCACTTTCCGACAGCCGTGCCGATTTCTCGATGCATTCGCCATTCCATCAGGGAGTTACGAAGTGGGACCCGCGCGGATGGCGTGGGGAAATCCCATGCCCCTGCTTCAGCCAGCCAGTCTGCTTCAGTCATTCATTCAGTCTGCTTCCTGAAGGCGGCATGACAGGTGCCGCCAACTCACCGACTGGGACTGCGGTAAGGATGGCTGAACCGAGAGGGGAGGGGGGATGTTACGGTGTAATTGTTGTTGTTGATCAAAAATTATGTTTGGAATTTGTTGCTGGAGATGGGTGGCATTCACATTCCTCCGCCTAGATCCTGGCGTGGGGGCTCTTCACTGGCCTTTATTGTTAGCTAGTGAGTGAGGGGTTCTGTGTGTTTGTGTTTGAGATTTTTTTAGTGGAATGTTAAACAGACCCATGCATTTACTGAATAGACCCATGCTTTTACTAAATTGACCCATACTTGATGGAGAATATGGAAATGATGATGAATGTGATTGGTTATTATTGGCTGCATATGTAATAGTGTGGAAATGAATATAGAGATCATTATATTTTTTCATGATGGTTAGAATACGTAGGTTGATTTAGTAAAAACATGGGTCAATTTAGCATTCCTTTTTATATAATAATTATTTTTATTATTATTTTATCAAGTTGAGATGGGGCAAGGTTTGCAAAGAAATCATAGTACCACTCAAGATCACTCTTCTTTCTATAAAGGTTTTTATTGAATGAAGGTTATTTTGCATGATTGTACTGGATTTTTATTCCCTTTTATTTTGGCATTAAAAAACATCTGAATATTGGTTCAAACTTTGATGCATAAAAATTCAATTGTGAAGGAGAGTCAAAGGTGGAGAATGAGTTAGATTTTAATTTATAATATAAATAAATAAACTGCATCTGCTCCAATCTCTTAGTATTACAGAATTTTATCTATGTGTCTTTTTTGTACTTTATTGTCACTTAAAATTGATGATTCATTAGTGGCCAAATTGGTAAAGCTTTGCAAGTAAATAATCAAATGAAGATTATATATATATATATATATATATATATATTATTTAGACACGTAAATGATATCTTTTTATAAAAGAAGTTGGGTTTTCTATTTCTTTCATGCAACTGAGCTTGCCTTACTTGCAGCGTTTGTTGAACATCTATTCTTTCATCTGTTTTTTCTATTTTTGGTTCCGTTTGGTGATCAAATTTGACACAGAATTACATTCTATTTTTACAATTTATCAAAAAAGATTTAGATTAAGGCCTTTGAATTGAAATTTAAAAAGACCTTGTTTATGAAATAACGTTGTAATTTTATTCCTTCATAAACTCATCGTCTTATAAAATCAATCTAGTTGAAATCAAATACCAATATAGTATTTTTAAGAATTGTGTTTAAAGTACAGTAACATATTTTCAAAAATAAAATACACAATGATAAAAAAAAACAAAACAATAAATAAAAATCATGGATAAATAGTAATGATGTTATTAATAATCAAACTTGATTTTAGTGGTATTTCTAAATTTTCTTTGTGGTTGGTTAAATAATTATTTAAGTAAAATTATAAAGAAAAAAATATAATAATAATAATAATAATAATAAAAACCTCATAAACCAATCAAGAATTTAAGTTTGTATTTGATAATACTTTCATGTTTTATACATTTATATTGTAAATCACGAAATAATATAATTTAATAAGTTTTAGAAAAACATAACTTAGAAGGTTTAGTTTTTTATGTTTTAATGTAAAATCTATGTTTAATAAAAGCTATTATTTTTTAGATACTTACAAATTTTTGCCATGTCTTTGTAGTCGATAGTTGTTAGTTAAAATCTGAATATAGAAGTTAATAGTTTGAAAAGTTTTACTAAAAGCACATGACAATAAACAAATAAAATTAGAGGTGCATAAAGCCTTCTTGGATTTCATCATTAGTCCTTAATAAATGATATTTACATTCATCATAGACTAAACTACTAGTAAGTTTTATGAATATTATTGTTCCTCAATAAAAATAAAATAAAATAATATAAAAATTAATGATGCAAACTTGTGAAAAATAATTTGCTAATAATGGAGATTACATAAGGTTTCTTAAATGACACAGATTTAAACAAAAGTCAAAAAATATATTGCATGAAATCAATGTCTTGGATAGAGTTCTACAAGAAGAACACAAAGCTACAATAAAAAATAAGAAATAGAAACATCCCTATCCCTACAGCATAAATTCAATAACTCTAAAGTGTAAATGAAATGTCACACTTTTAAATTTTCATTTACCGCATAACCAATTGTGTTCATAAGAATTTAAAAATAAGTACACTTTATTTATGTTGTTTTAATTTCTTTAAAGTGCATACATTAAAACCTTGTGACATAGTTGATTACAATATTCAAATGAAACTTTTGAACAATTTTTTCTTCATATATATATATATATATATATATATATATAAATTATTTTTTCAAAGCTCTGATTTTGTTTAAACACATGGAAGAAAGAGTAAAACCTTGTTGTAGTGAGGCATACCAAATGAATGAATTCGAATAAGAACCCAGATCCTTTTACAAGTTATCTTGCACATGATTATTTTATTAAAATTATTTTGCATTCAAGTCTAATGATGACCTGATTGTAGACTCCAAATTTATTTATTGCTCTGCACTTATCATTGCTCTCTACTACTAGATTAAAGAATGTCAACGGAATAAAATGAATAAAATAAAGATGTTTAAAAAGTCCTACCAATAATAATAATAATAATAATAATAAACCACAAAATACAACTTCTTGCAGAAAAACCAAGTTAATTTTCTAGCACTTTTCTTTTCTTTTTTAACTAACATGGCGAGCTACCGGTTATTGCAACTGTATTGTTTTACTTGCCATTGGATCCTCAATTACAATAAAATATAGTGTGTAAAAAGAGGGTGTTACGAAGGCTTTAAGTACTGATTTTAAAAAAACAAAAAACAGAAATAAACATAAATAAATAAATAAATAAATAACGAATGACACATATTATTCAAAAAAAGAGAAGTAACAGAAAGAGAACCCCAATTGAGTAGGCCTACCATCCTCTGTGTACCCATTTATGAAACATCTTTGCACAATCCAATGCCCAAATTGA